CTTTACTCTCGCCCCTCCCGAATGCTGAATGAATGTTGTGTTTTATCGGTTTATTTTTTTATTCACATTTTTTTTTCTTCTTCTTGTGTTTTGTCCTACACTCCCTTCCCATTAATTGTAAGCCGCCCTGAGTCCCCTCAGGGAAAAGGGCGGCCTATAAATTTAAATAAAATGAAAAAAAACATGAAAAAATAATGGATTCATACTTTAAGCCTGTATACGACAATAAAACATAAGTGAAAAGTTTGCGCGATTGTGAAGGAATAGAGGTAAGGCTACGTAAAGACATGCGTAGTAAACTACCATGATCTCAGTAGCTGGTTATCTCGGATACCTACAAGCTCACCTAATTAGCAGAACCAGATGTGGGAAAAGAGGAAAGGTTATGTACAGATATTTTGGACACCACTGCTTGATGGACTTCTGAAACCCACATGATTCACCTCAGTTTCAAGTCATCACATAGCATATTCATAAAAAATACAAAATAGCCCCTCTTTTTACTGCATAAAACAAAAATCAATTTTCTAAACATGTCCTATATTTAATCTCCTGGATAATGAATTCACCATTTCTCCTGAGAACATTAGTAATTATATCAGCAAAGTGGTATATAATCTCAAGGCTTCCCTCACTATTTACAAATGACTAACTCGGAAAAATGTTTAGAGAAATCTAGGTCAAGTTACTGCTATATGTCAAAAAAAACCGTCCCATTTATTATTTCTAGTGGAATTTTAGCCCCTAAGCATGTCTCAAATACTGTTGATAATACAGGAGTTTCTTAGTTGTCAATAAAAACCTTCAACAGTATTTCTATTCTGGAAGTTTTTTGAAAGCCAATCCAGAAATTACACTCCCAAAGAAGCCACAAACCATATTTGAGATGATACATCAATTAATGTTTAGCACAACCAATGAACATTTTACATGAAGCAAAATTCAAAACTTCTTTCTCTACTCTCTCTTCCACCAGCACCAATAAAATCTAACATCCAGGTTTCTTCAAGGTAGAATTCTCTTGAATGAATATTTATGGGTATCAGATAACAATCACATGTCCTTTGCAGACCCAGTTTTTCTATGCAGGCTGAAGCCAAAGAGTAAACATTAAAGACCAACATTTACCTCATTCCATAAATGTATACATCGTAAATATAATATAGGCACTATTTTACTACAACACATTAAAATTTTATTCTAAGTATCCCAGTTTAATATCTGATGAGATAGCTAGAATAACATATCTTTTTGACACCCACCCAACCTACTTTTATTTAACAATTTGCACTTGCTCACACATTGTTTATAGTTGATAATATTTATATTACTTGTCAGAATAATAAACTTTTTGACAATGATGAAACGGAAGCTGAATTTAAAGCAACAGATGGGACTAATATTATTCATCATTTTGCCTGTTTTCCACATTAAATCCTTTGAATAGTTTCTGTTTT